AAGACTTTTCGATAAGTCGTCTAAGATAAACATGTTAGTTTTGCATTTGAACGGCTTGTGTCAAAATTTTGACTTTTTCTAGAAAACTTACACATAAGTCGTCCAAAAAAAAAATAAAACATAAATACTTATTTTTTTCTAGACGACTTTCATGAGAGTCTTTTCAGGTTACTTTTGCAATTGAAAAATATAACTTAAATATTTAATTTTATCCGGACGATTTCCATGTAAGTCTTATGGTAGACGACTTACACGGAAGTCTTCCAAGATTTTATTCCGAGATTATGGTCAAACATTTGTTATTACAGAAGACTTCCATGTAAGTCGTCTGCTAGAAGACTTACATGGAAGTCGTTTCGGATAAAATAAAATATTTAAGTTTTATTTTTCAATTGCAAAAGTAACTTGAAACGATTTACATGGAAGTCGTCAAGAAAAAAGTTAAATATTTAAGTTTTATTTTTCTTCTGAAAAGTCAATTTTTTTATACAAGCCGGTCAAATGCAAAACTAACATGTTTATCCCAGACGACTTTATGTAAGTTGTTTAGGAAAAGTCAAATTTCTGACACGTAAAAGTCAATGGCATAACTAACCTATGCTGACCAAAAGACTTCCGTGTAAGTCTTCTAGACAACTTCCGTGGAAGTCATCTACGTCAACGTTTATAAACTTTAATCTTCTCTCTAAAAGTATAAAGACTTTTTTAACGTTTTCTTGTTAATTCATGTATACTAGTCAAAATTAGGGCTCTTGAATGAAATTCATAACTTAATTGGTGATAAGTATGAGGTCAACAACATTCATATTTGTTAAATTTTTAGCTAATGAGAGAACACTTCTTGGGAAGTCTTTTATGCTAGTTTTTGTAAAACTTCTATTTCAACTTTAGATACATATTTTTTTTTATCTTTCAAAAGTGTTAACTAACTTCAAGAATATCAACTCATGTGGTTTAATTGTTTTCTTATATCATAAGATATACTTTTTTAACTTTCATGAAATTGAAATTTTCAATTTTTCCTTAAAATTTGAGTTTTCCGATTAAGTTTTAATTTCCCTCTTAAATTTCCCCCTTATATTTAAATTTCCCGTTTGAAGTTTAGGCCTTTCCGAGAAGTCTTCAAGAAGACATCCAAGAAGCCTTACGTAGACTTCCCAGAAAACTTCTAGTGAAACTATTATATGTTTGAACTAATGCAATATTTGATCTTTTGTGAATTTGACTAAGTTTTCTTGAGAAGTTTTCTCCAATAATTGTAATAAATTTGACTAATTTTTTATGTTATTGTGTGTTTGCTATTGAAGTTGTATCAAGTTTAATAATGTCAAGTACTGATGGAAATATAATATTGTAGACATGAACATATTTACCGAATTTAATCATTAATATCTTTTTAAATTTACAAAAGAATTCACAATTAAAAGAGTACACATACAAATTAAAAACAGACCATAAACAAAATTATTATAGATCATTCGTTCACAAAGAAAAGCTTAGACTCCACTGGACATGGGAAAAACTCTGTCAGAAAGACTTCCTGGAAGTCTTCTAGTGCATTAAATGTTAGAAGACTTTCGGGAAGACTTCCAGTCTTCCAAGTCTGTCTCATATCAGAAAACCTGCATATCAAAAAACATTCAAATGACTTTAATATATAGCAAAACTTCAAAAAAAAAGAGGTTAAGAGCTTAAAATAACCAAAAGAGTTTTGAAAAAGTAAAAGCTTTAAGCAACATACTTAATGTTACCAAATGAAAAAAAAAATTATAGATCTACTTTTAAAGGAGTGAAATATAAGAACCATGTAATGAAAAACCTACAAAACAAAATGAATTAGTGAGAATAATATGAGACGAAAATGATAAATTTTGATATAAGTTTGGTGTTTTATAAAAATGATAAACAATGAAAAGGTAAGAGCTTTTAAGCAACCATAGATTACCAAATGAAGAAAAATCAGACATTAAACTTACCAAAACACTTAAATCTGTAATGAGAAAGGAGACAAAGAAAAAGATTTTGCTAGAAGTTTTCGAGAGGACTTCCAAGAAGTCTTTCAGAAGACCTCTAGGAAGTCTTCTAGTGCATTAAATGTTAGCAGACTTCTGAGAAGACTTCTTGGAAATCTTCTAAGTCTGCCTCAGATCTGAAAAACATGTATATCCAAAAGCTTTCAAATGACTTAAACATATAAAAACTTCAAAAATAAGGTAAAAACTTACAACAATCAAAAGAATTTTCAAAAGGTAAGAGCTTTAAGTAACAAGAAGTTACCAAATGAAAAAAAATATAATTTATAGATCTACCTTCAAATGAGCAAAAGATGAGTATCATGTGATGAAAAAACCTGCAAAAACAAAATAAATCAATGAGAAGACATGAAATAACAATAGATTGATATAAAGTTTGGTGTTTTAAGTTCAAAGAGACTAGAGAGAGGTTAGAGAGTTTTGGAATGATAAGCATTACATTTTTGTTGCAACCATTTGAGAGGAAGAGAGAAAATGTGTAAATTTTATTTATAAAGGTAGACGAAAAATATTCAATAAAATTAATTTTTTTCGATTCAAAAGACTTACTTGAAAGATTTACTTAAAAGTCTTCTAGAAATTTACTATTTGCCCATAAGAATTTAATATTTTTAGCGAATTGAAATTGTTTTAGCGGGAGTTGGAAGACTTTTAGGGAAGACGTTTAGGGAAGTCTTCTAACATATAAAATACTAATCTCCAAAAGACTTTCTAGAAGTCGTCTAGACCCTAAACATAAACCCTAAACTCAAATAACTAGCTAAATAAATAGAAACAAACACTTCATTAAACTTAAAAATGATTAATATACAAAAACTAAACATATATAGGTCAAAATTTAATTTTCAAAAAAAAAAGTTAGCTATCCAAAAACTAACATTATGAACACAAAAATAATACTACATATGTTATCAACCCCCAAATCAAAGAATATTATGATTCATTACTTTCACTCATTAAGGTTAAAAACAATTTATTATTATTATCATATTTTAATTTATATCACTTACAACCATTTATAATTAGATGATTTCAATTTTTCCCCTGTCAGAATATTTTCTTACAAAATTTCTAATTATTTTAAAAATCTAATATATGAGAAGATTTCCCTAGACGTCCTCTACACGATTTACTGTATCTCAGAAGAGAAGACATTCCAAAGTCATATTTAGCAAAATTCCCATTATTCAATCATGTATTTTATCATTTTTTTTTTAAATTGTGCTATTAGATTAATCAATTTGTACTCATTGCAAGTTTGAGTAGAAGAATTTTGAGATAATAATAGAAATTTCACATCGTAAGTTTAAATATTCAACTCGGATCAATACAAAGTATTTTGAAAAGAAAATCAAAAACAAATTAATATATGCAGAATTTAACGATCGAATTCAACATAAATAATATCATACTAGCGAATAAAGTTAGATATAAAAGCCCTTTGTAAAAAAAAAAAGAATAAAGTTAGACATGTACTTGAAAATTCCAACAAGAATCAAAATGGATACAATTATATTTATACTATTAATTCAAGATCCTATTTTAAAATTTTTGGATTATTCCTTAGATTTTCATCATATTTACAACGTATAATATCCTACGGTCAATACATAAATGTGTTCGTCTCATTTTGAGACGAATTTAAATAAGATGGCTCTACCATTTTATCCTTTTTAACAAAGTATTTGATAAATTTTTACTAGACTTTTACAACATATAATATCCCGCATTTTAAAGCGCGGTTAAAATAAAACGTTAATGATGAAACCAAACATAAACCAACACAAAATCAAATGAACGTGACTTTCTTTTGAGTTATACATTCCTCTCAAGCGGAACCAAACCCAACCAAATCTGATTAGGTTACAGAGTAATTAACATTAATGTTCTGCATGTCGAACCGTGTCGTAAAAAGATAGTGATTATATAATCAGTTTTGTAGTCTATATTTTTCTAAAAGACACAAGAATACAAGCTCGCGTATGTCGTATGCTTGTGTGAGACGAAATTTAGGGTTTATAATTGAACTCCTGCAAGAAATCTATGTGAAACCCCATAATTTTCAAACACAAAATTAAATTATTACGAGTATAGATCGATACATATCTCAAAATTAAATTATTATGAGTATACTTGGTCGCTCGTATTCATCGGAGGTGGAAGCTTCGCGATACTTGTTTTCTTCTCCTCTTCAGATCTATTTTGCATGATTGTGCTTTAGCTTAATTGTTTCTAAGTTTCTTTCTGGCTCACCGTCATTTCTCCCGGTTAACCGGAGATGTAACCTTTCCGATGTCCTTTTAAGGGAGATAAATGTAAAGGTTTCAATTTAAAAAGAAAAAGTATTTGTCTCTTTTCGGACATGATGCAAAAACGACATATGTTTCATTCGTACCACAATCTTTTGAGAATTCAATTATTAAAGATATATCCACTACTTGTGGTCACCATTATATCTGCAGAGTTTGGAAAACACATTCACGTGTATATCGTTTAGGTAAAAAAAACAAAAATCTCTCTTTGTAAAAGAGAGCGAGCAACACGTTTTGGTGGGATACAGAGGAGACAAAGCCGGTCTGACTAGACACAAACCTACCGGGCTTAATTCGATCATATTTAAATAAGTTTTTTTCTCAAATAGACCAACATTGAATACAATCATATGATATTAGTGATCAAAACCGAGCATAAACCAACACATCATTGAATCAAAGTCGCTTCATTTTGAGTTAAACATTCCTTTTAAACCGAACCAAACCAAAGTCAAAGTTGCACCAAAATCGATTTCGAGCCTGACCCAAAAGTCCACCTCTAATACTGTGCTTGGAGAGTGGTCGTGGGGCATGAACCGTGAATTGAAAGACGAATGAAATATTGTTCTATATATACCATAACCACATAGTTTTATGCCACACACACACTTTTCACTTAAAGAAAATGGAGAAGAACTCTTTACAAACTCACAAACTTGTGCTTCTATTGGCATTTTCTCTGTTTCTATTTATTACCACGGAACTGAGTCTTCTTGCATCTGCAAGTGCCCTAGACAACAACAGCAAGGCATGTCACGCAATAACTCTTGAATATTATCTCTAAATTTTTATTTTTTTTTATAGTTTGTTTTCCACGGATTTAATAGGTTTATATAGTTTACCTTGGCGAAAGAGAACACGATGATCCCGAACTCGTCACCGCTTCTCATCATGAAATGCTTGAATCGCTTCTTGAGAGGTAATTACCTTAATCATTTTCTTAAGTCGTAATCTCTATAGATTACTACTCATATTACTGAACTTGTTTATAATCTATGTACAGTGACTGTTTATAGAGCTTAAGATAGAAATAAAATACCTTTTTAATTTTTATTCCAAAATAGTGCACAATGAAGAAATTCTCAAAATAACATTAATCTAAATTCAATTTATTTATTTATTTTATATTAGAGTGATTAGGGTTTAAATACTAGCACTTAGAGAAAGAAGTAAAGGTAAAGATGTAGGCTGTGCGTAATTTACTCATTTTACTCTTTTTTGTGTTTTTAATTGTATAAATATATTACTTCCCTTGTATGTAGTATATACTTATTTATTTCTATTAGGTAACAAATATTCAGAAATTCGTTTCTTGCCTCCCAAGAAACTTCTTTCCACATGCTATGTTTCTTCACATTACTTAGGCCCTCCTGTCTTTTCTTTTGTCTATCATGGGATCATGTCTCACTTAAATCTATCATGTTCTATACAGCCGAGAAGACTGGCACAGCTCAATGATCTACAGCTATATATCGACATGGCTTCTCCGGTTTCGCAGCATTTCTTACATCTTCACAAGCAAAGAAAATCTCAGGTACTCAACAAAACACACACACACACACACATATGCGAATAGTTCATATCTTTAAGCACTGATGACTTTGGTTTCTGAACCGGAATCTCGTGTATAAACACAGAGCATCCTGATGTAATCCATGTTATACCAAACCGGATTCTTAAACTGAAAACCACAAGAACTTGGGATCACCTTGGCCTCACTCCAATTCCAACTTCCTTTTCTTCTTCATCAACATCTGTAAAAGGTCTTCTCCATGACACCAACATGGGCAGTGAAGCTATCATAGGCCTAATTGATTCCGGAATATGGCCAGAGTCAAAGGTCTTCAACGATCGTGGCTTTGGACCAATACCTAAGCGTTGGAGAGGAAAATGTGACTCGGGAGAATATTTCAACGCCACAATTCATTGCAACAAAAAGCTTATAGGAGCTAAGTACTATGTAAATGGCCTTCTAGCCGAGATGGGAGGAAAATTCAACCGAACCATAATCCAAGATTTCCAATCCGGTAGAGATATAAACGGTCACGGCACACATACAGCCACAATAGCTGGAGGCTCATTCGTTACCAATGCAAGCTATTATGGTCTAGCCCAAGGTACTCGTAAGTAGCAGTTGAGACAAAACCAAGCCTATAAAAAAACATTTTAATAGTACTAACGTCATAAGTTATTACGTAAATGATGAATTTTCAACCTAAAATCAATCGGTGATAAATCCACGGTATTACATTATTTCATTGTTAGGTATGGCCCGAGGTGGTGCACCTAAGGCACGGATAGCCTCATACAAGGCGTGTTGGAACATAGAAGGAGTTGCAGGAGCGTGCACAAGTGCTGATATATGGAAGGCTTTTGATGATGCTATATATGATGGTGTTGATGTTTTGTCTGCTTCTCTTGGCGGGACTATTCCAGAGGATTCAGAGGTTGAGCGCAATAATCTCGCGGCTTTTCACGCGGTGGCTAAAGGGATTCCCGTTGTTGCTTCGGCAGGTAACAAAGGACCAGGTGCTCAGACTGTTGTCAACGTTGCTCCTTGGCTTTTGACAGTTGCTGCTACTACTCTTGACCGATATTTTCCTACCAAGATAACCCTTGGCAATAATCAAACATTCTTGGTACGTTTTAATACCAAAATCTAACAACAATAGTTTAAAAGTTTGGGAGCTATTTTTAACTTCTTGTATAACTAGGCTGAATCTCTGTACACTGGACCGGATATTTCAACCGGTTTATCCTTCTTGAACCCAAAAGGTGATAAGAATGTTGATGTGAAAGGGGAAACAGTTCTTGTTTTCGATAGTACCACTCCAATCGCAGGGAAAGGTGTAGCAGGAGTCATAGTGGCCAAAAAGCCTGACGATCTTCTTACTCGGTGCCATAACTATCCGTGCATTTACACTGATTACGAGCTTGAACCGACATTTTACAATACATACGTACCACCAGGTCCTATATCAATGAAATATATAAACTGTTTATGAAGTCTGATCTCTTTTTCTACAAACATCATCATTGGTTCCATGTCCAACCACAGATCTCCCACGGTGAGAATAAGCGCGGCTACAACATTTACAGGTCTGCCTGCCACGACCAAGGTTGCTGCGTTCTCATGTAGAGGGCCTAACTCTGTTTCACCAGCCATTCTCAAGGTTACAAATAAAGCCTTACAAATCTTCTTCTATTTTACTTCAAATATTGAAACCTTTCTAAGTAGATATTTGATCACGTTTTACTCTATAGCCTGATATAGCAGCTCCTGGTGTGAGCATCCTCGCGGCACTAAGTCCGTATATTCTAAATGAAAACGATGGATTTGGACTCCTTTCAGGGACATGTATGTCAACTCCTGTTGTTTCAGGAATCATAGCTCTACTCAAGTCTCTACACCCTAACTGGTCTCCTGCTGCATTTAAATCAGCTTTGGTCACAACAGGTTCTTGCTTAGTTTTTCACCTATTTATTCTTATTTAATTACACAAGAAAAACTGACTAACATATCTCATTTTTGAAGCTTGGAGGACAAGTCCATCTGGTGAACCTATTTTTGCTGAAGGATCAAACAAGAAGCTTGCAGATCCATTTGACTATGGAGGAGGTCTTGTAAACCCTGAAAGAGCTGCAAAACCAGGACTTGTATACGATATGGGGATTCAAGATTACATCAATTATATTTGTTCTGCTGGTTACAACGACTCCTCGATTTCTGGAATATCTCGAATCATCGGTAAAAAGACTAAGTGTCCAATTCCTAAGCCATCAATTCTTGATATCAACTTACCTTCAATCACAATCCCAAACCTTGAGCAAGAAGTAACACTCACAAGAACTGTAACCAACGTTGGACCCATAAAGTCAGTCTACAGAGCTGTAATAGAGTCTCCTCTCGGTATAACTCTCACAGTCAACCCGACCACACTCGTGTTTAGCTCTGAAGATAAGAAAGTGCTCTCTTTCACGGTTAAGGCTAAAACGAGTCATAAAGTCAACACTGGTTACTTGTTTGGAAGCTTGACATGGACTGATGGTGTTCATGATGTTAAAATCCCTGTCTCTGTTCAGACAAGGATCATGATCAAGGCTTAACATTGTAACTCAAAACTATCTGAACAATAAGCGATTTCGATCGATTTAATGAATAAAAGAGTCATAAGATGCTCAGGGTCTTTGTTCTTATTGAAGTGCTGTTGCAAATTTCAATTCACGGTGTGGCGAATCAAAATCATTATCATTATCCCCAAAATTTTAAAATCTTTTACATAACAAACACACGTAGGAAATAATTACTTTTTTTTTTTTTTTAATTTTGTAAGTTTTAGATCGTTTGTAACTTATATGCATGAAAAACAAATATTTTTTTTCAAACATACATCTTTTTTGTTTCAAACATACATCTGATTTTGCTTATAAACTTTTTGTTCGATTCCCTTATTCTTTTGGTATATTCGATTGCATTTATATATCTCAACTAAACCATAATTGTTAAACTAGATTTTGATCCGCGCTTGAAAGCGCGGAAAATTTTTATGATTAAAAATTTATATAATTGGGTTTTGTCTTAATTTAAAGAATGTTTTGGTATAAAATCACTTCACCCAAATTTGTGGTGATGATTGTTTTTCATTAGTTTTTAGTTTCAATTTTGTTTTTAGATTTTGGTTATTGATTTTTATTTTTTAAGTTTCAATTTTTGATTTTCAGCTTTTGGTTTGTGTTTTTAATTTTTAGATCCGTTGAGTTAGTTTGAATTGATATTACCAACAAACAAATCCTAAATAATCGAACATCTACTTTAAAACTGAAAAGATGACAAAAAAATTGCAATAATTTATTTTGTAAATAAAAAAAAGCAAAAAAATATAACTTGTGTTTTCATCTTTTGGTTTTGATTTTTGTTTTTAGATTTGGTTTTTGGTTTTGCTTTACATTTTTTTAAATCAGTAAATTATTTAAGAAAAATAAAACAATAAATTATTTAAAAGTTACAATTGAAATTTATCAAAATAAAGTGATTGTTATTTAAAATAAAAAATACATTAACATGTTTTAAAGTACATGATTTAAATAAATGATTAATAATAAAAAATTTTGTTTTGTTAAAAAATATTAAATACCTTTTGGGCCTAGAAATAATAATTGTTTTTTGATTTATTAAGATGAAAAATTTATTCAATATTTTGTGGAGTGTTTCTTTAATTCTAAGCCCAAAAACCAAACTATATAATTTTTTTTTAAAAAACAAAAGTAAGCCCAATATTATATCCCATAAATAACCATCGGTTTAATTTAAGTAATGCAGTTTAATTAATTATATGGCTTGTGTTACATATTTGTAACACTTGAGAAAGGGTCCAAATTTAAATGACAACTTGTATCAGTAGATAAAAAGAATGACTCTATTTTAATATAATAGATGATCTTAAATATAATATAATCCTATTATCTTGGTTAGTTACATTTAATTTAATTTATTGTTTTGGACTACTAGTATATTTAATTGATTCTCTGAGTGTATACAATTTATAAGAAAGAGAAGAAAAAGAATGATGAATATAATTAACTTGCTCTGTTTTATGAAAGAAAAAACAGAGTATCACTTTTATTGTATTACGCTCAATTGTTTTAATTATGTTCTGAGACAAGTCTTGATCTATATTTATAGAGAATGAACAGGTGTGTTGAAACACACAACTCTTTGTTGTAAAGACACAACTCCTAATTCTAAAGACATAACTCTTGATTATACAGACACACCTTTTCATTCTAAAAAACACAACATGAAGAGTCACAACTCTTTGTATAATAACTAACTAATTTAAATGTACTAAGGAGAGATTTGATTATATAATTTAACACTCCTCCTTAATCATATCTCGACTTCACTCCAAGATGTTTCCTGAGGTCTTCAAACCTTGAATGGCCCAATGCCTTTGTGAGAATGTCTGAAACTTGATCATCCCCCTTGCAATACTCCAGTTCAATGATTCCTTTTTGCTGAACCTCCCTCACAAAATGATACTTGATCTCTATGTGCTTCGTCCTTCTGTGTTGCACCGGATTCTTCCCGATTGCTATTGCTGATTTGTTGTCACATAAGATCGGAATGCCTCCTTCAAACTTCTGACCAAAATCTTCAAATAGTCTTTGTAGCCACACGGCTTGATTTGCTGCTGCACATACGGCTATGTACTCTGCCTCAGCTGATGATTGTGCCACTGTTTGTTGCTTGCTTGACTGCCAACAAAACATAGCCGAACCAAGAGTAAACACATAACCTGAAGTGTTTTTCTTGTCTTCTTTAGAACCACCCCAATCGCTATCCGAGTAGCCTATAAGTCGTGGTTCCTTCACACTTGTAAAGAACACTCCAAAATGTGATGTTCCTCTGACATATCTTAACACCCTTTTGGCTTCTTGGTAGTGCTTCATGCGAGGTGATGACATGTATCTTGAGAGATAGGCGCTTGCATACATCACATCAGGTCTTGATGCACATAGATACACAAGCCCTCCAACAATGCTTCTATACTTAGTCGGATCTCCATACTCTTTGTCATCCTCATCAACTCATTTCTTTTGTGGTGTAAGTGGAGTGCTTACAATCTTGCTGTGTCGCATCCCAAACTTATCAACAAGTTTGTTTGCATACTTTCCTTGTGAAAGAAATATGCCTCCATTATCTTGAATTACTTCCATTCCAAGGAAATAGTTCAACAATCCAAGATCCATCATCTCGAACTCTTTCTTCATATTCTCCTTGAATGTGTTGATGATCTTAACATTGTTTCCAGTGATGATTATGTCATCTACATATAGACTCACGATCAACACATCTCCTCCTTGCTTCTTGATGTATAAAGCTGCATCATTCATACTTCTTTTAAACCCGTTTTGAAGAAAATATGAATATATCCTTCCATACCATGCCCTTGGGGCTTGCTTTAAACCATATAAAGCCTTGTGTAGCCTTAACACTTTTTCTTCCTTTCCTTGCTTCACATATCCAGGTGGTTGTGTCACATACACTTCTTCCTTCAGTTCCCCATTGAGAAATGCTGACTTCACATCCATCTGATACAAACACCACTTCATCTGAGCTGCATATGCAAGTATGGCTCTTATTGTATCATGTCTTGAGACAGGAGCAAACGTCTCAAGGTAGTCAACACCATATGATTGAGAGAATCCTCTTGCTACTAGTCGCGTCTTATGCTTGATGTGATTGCCACTTGCATCGGTCTTGATCTTATAGATCCACTTCACACTTATCACATTCTTCTTCTCTGGCTTGTCTACTAGTTCCCATGTATTGTTCTTCTCAATCATGCCGATTTCTTCATCCATCGCCTTCCTCCATTCCTTTGTACCACACGCTTCATCATACGTGTATGGTTCTTCATGTGCATGAAGACAAGATTCTATTGCTTGAGCTGCCTCTTCAAGCTCTACTCTTGGTGCTTTTTCCATGATCTCAACCATGGACTTAAACTTCTTTGGTGGCTCAGAATATTCTTCATCTTCATCACTAGTATCATGATCATTATTTTGAATGAAAACAGGGCTGGAAATACCTTCGGTTTCTGTTTGTTCCTCAGACGATTGATCATCTTCCATAGACAACTCGTTAGGCAATTGAGAGTCTTCCATAGACATCTCTAATGTCTTCTTGACTTCTCCTAGCTTTTTCCAGTCCCACTTCTTGCTTTCTTCAAATTCTACATCTCTTGATACTTCAATCTTCTCATTCTCCAGGGTGAGAACTCTAGAGCCTTTGGATTGATTGCTATATCCAATAAAGACTCCACGCTTTGCCTTGACATCTAACTTCCTTCTCTTCTGATCCGGAATATGTATGTAACATATGCTACCAAACATTCTCATGTGTGAAACATCTGGCTTGTGTCCACACCACTTCTCTATAGGAGTGACATCATCTTCTATTGCCTTTGATGGTAGACGATTTTGAAGGTATGAGGCAGTGTATACCGCTTCTGCCCATAACTTGAGTGGTAAATCTTGTTCTGCCAACATAGTTCTAGCCATCTCCACCAAAGTCCTATTCATCCGCTCTGCTGCACCATTTTGTTGTGTTGAATAAGGCAAGGTAACTTGCTTGTTGATTCCTTCTTCTTCACAAAACCGGTTAAATTCATGTGAAGTGAACTCACCACCACCATCTGACCTCAATGTCTTGATGGTACAACCCGATTGATTCTCCACCATTGCTTTGAACTTCTTGAACAATGAGAAGGTCTCTGATTTTTGCTTCATGAAATATACCCAACACATGTGAGTATAGTCATCTAAGAATAGCAAAAAATATCGGCTTCCATCAATGGATTGATGCTGCATTAGTCCACATACATCTGTATGTACAATCTCAAGCTTTTCTCTTGTCTTAGTTTGAGATTCCTTTGGGAAGCTTTTGCGTGATTGCTTTCCAAGTCTACACGCCTCACATGCTCCCTTCCTGACCTTAAACTTTGGTAATCCCTTTACCAAGTCTTTGTCTTGCATTTGTTGCAACCTTTTGTCGCCTACATGACCAAGTCTCTTGTGCCATGTCTCCATTTTCCTTTGCTCACTTGCGCTCATGGCTTCTTCTTCTTGAGCCGAACTCATCCTAATTTTGTAGCTCTTGTGAGTCATTGGGATATTCATTATCCTCCTTCCTTTTGCATCCTCTATGATGCATCTTTTCTCTTGGAAATTCACCCGATATCCACTTGAAACAATTTGTGGAACACTCAACAAATTTTTTGCCAAACCCGAAACCAAGAATACATTTTTGATGGTCCTCTTGCCACCATTAGTCATGACGGTAATATCTCCTTTACCGGCTGTCATGACTATCCTTCCATTTCCAATCTTTATTGGAATCTTGACACTCTTGTCAAGCCTTGAGAAGTAATTCTCCTCCTTTGTCATATGATTAGTTGCTCCACGGTCTACTAACCAGACATCTTCCATCACTATTGTTGCTTCACTCGCACTGAACAACATATGATCTTCATTAAAGTCTTCTTCTTCGAGACTTAAATGTGCTTTCT